ATAATCATTTCCCGAACAGCAGCCGACATTTTCTCTTCTGTCTTGATTGCTGCCGCATCTCTTTTTGCCAATTCCTATTCAGGTTCGTTTTTTTTCTTCCACATATCATATTTAAACCAATTTTCAGCTTCCTATATGGTGCTAGCTCTTTTTCTGTACATTTGCACTTTTGGTGTCATTCAGTTGACATCTTCTCATATTGCTGTTATTATTTTAAGACAGGTGAGCAATACCTCTTTATTGTTCTGAAACAAATCTTTTTAAGATAAGTGTGACTCGTCCATATGGCTTCCAATCCATTTGTAGTATCCGTCGGTTATCACTTGTAGTTGGTTTCACTTGGTGTCTATCTATTATGTATGCTGCTGCTTATGCTCCAATGACTACAGTAATCGTGGATGCGTCTAAAGAGGACACAGGTAGTATATTCAGTAAATGACACATAATATTTAATTTTTTCAGTTTGCCCATATCATAACTGCCAACGTCCTCTAATCATAACAGCTATTACGATAATCGTAATTTCAATGTTCACTGTCCTTGGATCATATGGAATAGTTGTTGCTAAAATGGCTCAAATTGCTCATAGTGAAAAGTGGGTTTCTATTAATTTCAGCGAGAATAAATAATTTTTAGAATGCACAATGAGCCAGAAATGACAAGAAAACGAATGCAAAAATTCTTCAAATTCGGCGGACATTTGGCTCTTTACACTCTCATTGTCTCATTGATTTTCGTTGGTTCTCTTTTCATCCTTCACAATGCCGAAGATTATCATCGAATCAATCGAATGATCGCAATCAACTGTGATGTTTATGATGTAGGTTTCTTTGAGAAATACTTTCTTGAAAAATTAACCCAAATGTTAATCCAAATGCAAAAACACGGAGCTTGGTAATAGAAATGCCAGCGGCCGTAGCCAAAGGTCTGACAGCGACAACTACCGTAACCTAATAACGTTTCTACTTTTTGAGTTTTTCCCAGAGATGTCCTGATTCCTGATTCCGGATTCCGTGAAAAATATTTTTGCCCGGTTTCCGGAAATCGTTCATTTGTTCGGATTCCGAGAAAATTTTTTATTCCGGATTTTTCAGAAAATGTGTTAATCTGCATAAATTCTCTGCCGTTTGAACTGTAGCGACTGAAAATGCGAAGATAAAGCACAAATGTGTTTTTTACATTTTTTGCTGCCCATCGGAGATCTCAAAATTCCGGATTCCGGATTCCGTGCTTTTTTTTCATTCCGGATTCCGTGAAGTTTTTATTTGTCCGGATTCCGCGAAAATTATTTTATTCCGGATTCCGTTTCTCAAGAAAGTCATTCCGGACATCTCTGGTTTTTCCTCGATTTCCGTCTGTTTCGGAAAATAAAAATCGTTGTCGGTTTCGGTACTTGCCGATGTAGGTTACGGTAGTTGCCACAGCTCACAAGGTTTCCAAGGGCATGGTCAGAAATCGCGCCCCACCGAACGTGAGATTGCAGCGCGATTTCTGACAAGGTTTTTTTGAACCCTGTGACAGGATCTTTTGTACCTGTATGATATCATTAATCGAAAATTTAATCCTTAATTACCATAAAAATACAATTTTTGTTCAGTACCTAAATATAAAACTTCGTCTTGAAACGATTGCTGGAGGTGCTGTCCTCTTGTGGTGTGTCAGGATTATTTTCGACGTCGTTATCACTTTTCTCGCGGAGATTCGACTGTTACCATGGCTTCGATTGGATAATCTTCAGTCGTTGGATAATAACCGGGTAATTTTTTTAAATTCTTTTAATTTTCTTAAACAAAGTTGTTTTTTCAGATTGTTTCTGTTCGACATGGATTGGGATGGCAGAAAGGATGTGTCAACTGTCCTGTTTTCAATATAGAAAATCGTCTTCATCCTTTGGATTTCAAAAACTGAATCGTTCAAGATTTGGTTCGACTACCGCTATTCGTCTGTTCTCTCTTTGTTTTGCCATTTATCCGTCTTTCCCAGCTGTATATGTTTGAAAAATAAATAAATTCAATTTTCTGAGCTTTTATTCTCGGTAGGCGGTAGCGGCTTCTCTGTTTTAAGTGAAGCGATTTCAGACAAAAATCGCAGGGAGCATGAAAATCAATTGCAACTAAGAAGAAGAGTAGTTTCATATAAAGGGAAATGGGTTCCAGGGGGAGAGACAAGATGGGAGGAAAAGACATGTCTGTTTTTAACGAAGAGTGGTGTGGGTTTTTTTTTTGTGAAAAGTGGATAAGAATGCCGACGAAAATTTCGTACACTTTGGAAGCGTATTATCACCGTAACGACAACAATATATCAAACAATAGCTAAAAATAAAATGGAAAGAATTGCAAGGAAAGTAGGGGGAACTTTTAGTGGATGGGAGAGAGATTGTGCAGTCAAGGGTGAGACAGTGACTGATCAGAATGCGACCTGCACATCTATGACGACAAGAATCGTATATATACAAAAGTTGTCATGATTGAAATGAGACACTGTCTATCCTGGGAAAAAATGAACAAAAAACAAGGCAAAAATAAGAATTGATTTCCGCGGAATCAAAAATGTTCGAAAGCGCTCAGACACGAGAATCTTCAGAAAGTAGGTTAGTTATAAATCGTGGGGTGATGTGATTCTTGAACTATAAATTAAGGTTGGGAAAAGAAAATATATAGGGTGAGGAGACAAATGGGAAAGATAAAAAAGACTCTAAAGTACAACTAGAATGTCGTATTCCTAGTCTTCTAGAAATTTCTAGAAAAAGGAATAAAACATAAGACAGGAAAAAATGCATTCAAGAAAGATAGGAAATAAAAAGAAATCCCGCTGATTGGAGAAACAAGAGCATGAAAGAGACAGGAAAGGGAAAATACAGAAATACTCGGTCCGGATGTCGAACCGAGAAGGCTGCTGAGTTGGCTGATGCAAAATGGAACCGTATTGACACTTGTAAAATGGTTATTATGCGCAGAGTGGAGACGAGACGTTGACAAGCAGACGATTCACTGAAAAAAATCGACTAAGAATAAAAAAAATAGGTGAATAGGAGTATTTAGCAGGGATCAGTCAGTATAAATTCTTTTCTAATTGCACGCCACACGTTTATTATTCCCGATTAGTCTTGTTTTAGTGTTCACATAATTTAGGTATAAATGATAAGGATACCAGTGAATAGAAAGGGGCTGGAAGCGGAGAAAAAATTGCAAGAGGCTGTGATGTAGCACTCACACGGATACTTACAATCTCCGATTCATCAGCACTCTTTTCAAAACTTTTTCCGCATCAAAATATTGGCATTCGAGTCAATGTTTGGCAAATCCGCTTTTTTCTACAATTGTTTCACACCTTATTTAGAATATTCAATTATTTTCGAATGGAAATCTATTTTTGCAAAAACAGAACAAGAACAAAAACCTACATCGTGATCTGCGAGTCCTCCCATTGAATCCATACCATCTCTTGGTGGATTCGGTAACCTGCGACGGAGCCATTTGTGCTTCAAAGCTTGAGCTGGAGTCATTCGAGTCTCTGGATCCCAGTCGAGACACCGTTTCAGGAAATCGACAAACAACTCGTCTCCCATGTTCTTCAATGCCGTCGACCATGATCGCGATTCTGGTGGTCCACGCATCTTTCCTCTCTTCGACCTGGCGCCAGCGAGTACGACAGACCCGTCTGGCATTGATGTCGCTGTACAGTATCGTGGGTATCCTTTCGAAGTAATGAAAGTGCGTGCACGTTTCGCTGTTTCCAAACTTTTCGGTGGTGGCATTCCGAGCAACTCGATGATAAGAGCTAGTTGATCATTCTCATCCTCTCCTGGCAACAATGGGTATCCGGTGAGAAGTTCAGCAAGTATACATCCAAGAGACCACATATCAATGGGCATTCCGTATTTGGTTCCAAGAATCACTTCTGGAGCTCTGTAGAAGCGTGATTGAATGTAGGTGTATATGCGTTGATCGTCGAAACATGAAGATCCAAAATCGATGACCTAGAATGATAATGTAAAATCCAGAAGACCATCGCTTTGTTTTTTACCTTAATTCCACTTCTTCCTTGCTGCTTCAAAAGCACATTTTCTGGTTTCAAATCACAATGTATCAATCTGTTCTTTTGTAGAAGATCCAGACACAAGAGCATAGAGTAAGCGAATTTTCTCACAAGCTGGAAGAAAAAAACATTATCGTATATACAAATAGTGATTCGTATTTGCTTACCATCAGTGAGAATCCTTGGAACTTGTTTCTCTTTATCAACTCGTAAAGGTTGATACTGAGGAGCTCAAACGTAATGCACTTGTGATTTCGGAAATTGAAGTAGTCGAGCATATGAATAATATTGTGCGTTCCATCAGAATCTTGTCGTCGAAGATGATCCAATATTCTGATTTCTTCGTCGGCTTGACGATGGAAACGCTTCTCATTGCGTACTAACTTCAATGCCACATATTGCTGATATTTATGATCGAATGCTTTGATAACCTAGAACATTTCTGAGTTTTTTATGAAATGGTAATAAAATACCAACCTGTCCAAAGGAGCCTTTTCCAATTACTTTGAGAACTTCGTAACGATAGGCAATGTGATCATGAACGACAAGTTGATATGACCCATTTTCATCATCATATCCACCATTATTAGCTCCTCCGATCACTCCTGGCTGTTTCTTCGCGTGTGATCCAACAAAGAAAACCCGCGTGTAGTTGTAAATCTCGTTTTTCTCGTACGGTACTAATTTTGCACCGAACGTCTGTACAGCATCTTCCGGTCGGAATCCTGAGTTGGATCCAGAGTTCGAATTATGTCCACCTTGACTGCCTCCAGATGAGGAAGTGTGTGATCGGCTGAAAAAATGAGATTGGGTAAAAAGGGATGACACTTTAAAAAAAGTTTCTTTGTTTAGTTACTGATAAGAGCTATGACGTAATCATATTCTCGTGCAAAGAGCATTGTAATGCCATTCAAACAAAAAAAGTACATTGTTCGAATCATGCCAATTGGTTTTCTGTTTTACGAGTTCGAAAAGGAAGAATCGCGTGCTAGTTGAAAATAACAACGAGAGTGACACTTTCAGTTATTACATTCAGCTGATTATATTCTAACCCGCCAATTTTGGAAAAATGCAGACAACCAATTTCGACATTCAAAATGCCGTCATGAATTTTTGTCGTTGTTCGAAAACAAGTGTCTCGGGTGAAAAGAGAATTTTCCGGATCGATGAGTCAATGAGAACACATCCAGTTCCTCTCTACTTTCGCAATACTTGCGCTTTTCGGTCTATCTATTACAATTTTTCCCACCTTAAACTCTCATTGCTTGGACTCTTTGGGATTTTGGTGTGCATCATGGAATCGTGTGTTGAAGCAGTATTGAGTGTGGAGTGCGATGCTGACAAATGTTTATTGGGCCCACCGATCGACTGCGTCATTAGACTTCCAGATCCTCCCGATCCAACGCCAGATGACGAATTGGACGAGCCTGTAATACGGTTTGATTGGTATAAGCGAAAGTTTGACAACGAAAAATCATAGTTCAGGATGACATCATTCATGCCAATTTTATTCAACACTGGGATATCTGGTCATTCGAAAGGGGTAATCTGCACCGGAAACGCTGTTTGTTTTTTTGTCCCTTACCTCTGTACCCCAGTCGAATACCCGATGTAGACGGCTCAAAAAGTGTCATTCTAGCGGCCAAGTAACACACACACTCTAGTCACTCAAACTTCCTGTACGGGACTAAGAGCCAGCTAGATGAGGGTGTGAAGGATCCTATAGAAAACATTAGTATTACGAAGAGCAATTTCAAAGAAAAATGAAAAAGGTATTATAAGAAGAGAAAAAGGATTTAACGAAATGAACGACTGGGAGGAACAGAAAGAACACTACTACAATGCCAATTATTTTGGTCAACTCTGTCGGGACGCGAGCGGCTCTTCCGCGCAGCTGGTTGAAGCATTGCGCGTGCAAATATACACGCACTCTGTGTAATCATCCATGGGGAGAAGCAACTTTTCTCGATGAAAACTCTCCGACGAAAACGACACGTATTGGCGTCATCTCGGAACATCTTGAACGAGATGCAACCGGTCACGTCTCGACACAGAAAACAAAAGAAATCATTGGCAGAATCACTGTCAAAAAAGCAAACTATTAGCACTTGGCAGACAGACGTAATAAGAAGTCGCAACTCCGTACTTTTCTCGAGTGAATCTTACGAGGAGCTGAGAAATCGCGAGAGCAGAGCGTGTTACTACTGCAACGTTGTGCGTTCAATTGTCCTCTTGGCCACTTGAAGCTGCACCAAAGTATAGGAGGGTTAAAAGAGACTCACTTTTATTATTTCTATGTTTTTTTGTTCACCACCTAGGACAGAAGGCCAGACCAAACGGCCTTGGTGTTAAGAAGAGAAGGACGCGTAAGACGCTTTGAAAAAAGGTGTCAATCATGTATTTTACCTAGAGGTTTTCAATGCTTAATAACTTTTCTACTTCTCCATACATCACAAAAGTGTCAGTGCCATTTCTATTAATAAGGAAACATGGTCAGAATAAAAAATATGCACGATGATGTAGAAAAAATCAGATCTTAATTTCGTAAAACGGAGATCTTAATTTCGTAAAACGAATTACTATTAAGTGAGAAATGAAATAAACGAAAAACTGGGTTGACTGCCAATTGGCGAGAAGTCAATCGGTAGCCGTTTCCTACATCCGCTGGGTGTGACTGCTAAGGGTGTCGATGCGGTTGTTGAGGCCCGCATCGTTGAGATGCTGGACCGTCAGGAGACGTAGACAAAAGAAGACAACAGCCCTACGAAGAGAAAAGACCAGCCGGCGGCAAATGCGGTCCATTTCGTAGTACGCGTCGACGGGTCCTAGATGAGGACACCAGAAGACGCAGACACAGCGGGAGAAGAAGCGAGAGATTGGCGATTCAAACGACACAAAGGTGCAGAATAAAACTGGCAGAAGAAACGAGAGAAGAGATGCAGAAAGAAGAAGAACAACAACAAAAAGAAGAGGAAGGAGGGAAGCGGACACTCGCGCGGACCCGAGACTATTGTTCGTATTTGCCGGGTGGGGTCAAACCACTCTCATTGCCCCACCATCATTGGTGATGGCAATGGTACGAGCCAGTGCAAAAGACCAGATGGCCGGTCATGTATTTGCTTGACGGGTTCAGATTATCGTCCTCGTAGCGCACGCGAAATAAGGAGCAGATTGAAACTGCAGATGTCCAGATTTCATGAAATTTATGAGTCTCTCTTTCCTTTTTGGAGGACGAATGCATAAAAATCAACGATTCGATTTCCGTCTACATCGTTCGTTTCCTACTACGTTCAGACATAAATGATCAGCGATAACGATGCTTCACAGACAATAATCTCATATTCTGCGAATTCTCACAAGAAAGTGGTCCATATGCGGCAAATAAATACTAACACCTATCGTACATTTATTTTTCGTTCAGCGGAAATGGAGACGAGCGCAGCGGCATTTCGGTGTCGAATTTCGCGTTTTGTGGCCTTCACCCCGGGATCTTTCTTTCTCTCTCACTCATTCTAGGGATAACAGCCATTATACTAATTACCACACGGACTTTTCAAAGTGAAGGATATTGGGAACAACGATAAAGCGTAAAATCAGATATAGAGAAAATAAAAATTGGGTCGGAATACAATTAAACAATTTTTTCTTCGAAAATCATTGAGAATTTTCGCGGGAATGTGAGATAAAAGGTATTTGGGGAGTTGAGAAAATGTTTCATTCGCGGCGAAATAAGAAGAATGCACCGAATGCAGTCGAAACGACGAGCAAATGCAGACATTCAACAAAAATAATAATTTCAGCAAATCTTTTGCAGTGTTTCGAAACAAGTTTGCTAAATATCAAACAAAAAACTTGTCATACCGAAGACTGTGCTCAAAATGTTGTTATCAAAATGGTCATTGTTCTAATTATTCTGATAACCACTATAAACCGAATCGTACAGCGGCTTTGCGACAAGCAAAAAAAAAAGAACAAAAAATTGAATTGAAAAGGGAGGGAAGATAATAAAGTTTCATTCATTCCATCCGGAAATCGATACGAATGTATGCTGTTCTCAAATAATAAGAACGGTGTGAAACAGAAACATGACTAATGTACCGGTCGTCACTTTTCTTTGCGACCTCCTTCCATGGGAAACACCTAATTAAACAGAACAGAAGAGCAAGACAGAGTAGAGATGGAAAAAGGGATAAAGAAACGAGTAGACACACAAAAAATCCAAAGAGTAGTAGCATCAAAACTGAGCGTTCACTTTCCTAGTAATTCGGTGCCCTTTATGAAATGGGCGGGAGCGTGTGTCCTCTGTTGTCCTTGAACAGATTGAGGGACAAATTGGATAGAAACGTGCTTATTATTCACTCAATCAGGATGACCTACATGGAATACAAAACGAGGACATTCTTCTTAGATTGAAAGAAGGCTTTTTTATTGTCGTTGACTGAATCTCCACGTGGAGTTTCCATTACTCGGCTGGGAAATATAGGACACTAATCGAGTTGAGAGGATGGCTCATAGGGAGGTTCTGCAAAGCACGCATGCGCGAATTAATTAAGACTAGACGGGGAAAAGAAGAGGAAGGAGAAAATGTTATGAACCATTTTTTCGAGACTAGACTATGAACGACTACCAAAAAATATATGAAAAATATTAGCTGTAAACATGAAAATAAAAGGATTACTGTAGAATAAAACTGTCCTTTCAAGACGAGAATTAAAAAAAGGGAAAAGTAAAATCAAGAATACAGGAAGACTCAAAATATTTTAAGATGTTTAAAAAAGTGAGTGAGGTACGGTTCCAGCAATCTTTTTACTACTATCAAACAGAACTGACTCACATCTGGGGTTTGCCTACGCAAATAATGATTTCTTCATCACTTCTCTCACTCTCCTGAGAAGATTTGTGATTCAAATTTTTGCCTACGCAATATTAAAATTGTCTCAGTGTTTTACATTGTTACCTAGAAGTATAATCGAAATTTTAATCAAGATTTAGTAGCTGGATTATCCAAAAATTCAGTTTTAAAAATTTCCTTAATTCTCGAATTCTTGTTGACATACCAATGTGTGTTCATGAATTTGAGTCAGGTGCTTAGCGACGTCGCTGAATCAAATTCAGAGTTTGGAACCGTGCCAACTTTTTTTAATTTGCGAAATATCAAAATTGTTTTATTTATACATTCGAACCACCGAGTATTGATATTTACATAATTCTGATATTTCTGTTTACATATGATGTTTTTATTCCTCTCTCTCTCTCTCTCTCTCTCTCTCTCTCTCTCTCTCTATTTTTCCAAAAGCCTGTTCCTATTTTTTTATTTTCCTAGGGGGTGGATGTAAACAAAAAAAAGCAATAGTTCAAAAAAACATACCTTCATAAGAGTAAAATCGGTGAAACGGAATAGCGAACATGGCCCACAAACAACAATAACCCAAATAGAGAAAATTGACTAGCTGCAGAGGCAGCAGGGGTCTTTTGTTTTTTTTTAAATAGACGAGAAAGAATGGAGTATACGTGTACAGGTGGAACCCTTGCCGTCTTCTATCGACTGTATACTGATAGCAATCGACTAGAACCAGTCAAGTTTCAGGCGGCTTGAGCATTCGAAAGTTGTTCTTTAGTTGCAGAAAAAGAGAGTTTAGAAATTGGAGAGAATCTAGAGAATTCTATCAAGTGCTTGTCGTTTTCATGTGGCTCTGTCGCGGGGAGTTTTACTGCTTTTCAGTTTCAACGAAACGACAAAAAGTGACCATCGTTCAGATCACTTGAGTTCATATTGTTCTTTAATTAAGTCATCTCAAATCTACAACATCATGAGTTGCACCACGCAAAAAACAGAAATCGGCCAAGCGAAGAAATTATCTCAAGGTTGTGACCGATAATACGCATGCTGCTCCACATGTGCTCTTCATGTGGTTGCCGTTAAACATAGTACAGAATAATAAAAAAATCGAAAAATCGTACTAGTGGCTCTAGAACAATAAAAACGCAAAATGTGAAAAAGTTTAGATTTCAACGAAATTCCAATTTTTGAATTTTCGATAAACTACATTTTTTGGGTCTCAGATAATTCTTGTTGAAGAAAGTCTCCATTTTGGAAAAGAGAAGGAAAACAAAACAAACCTCGTAATTCGAAGAGGCTGGAATACATGGAAGTAAGTAGGAAAGGACCAAAAAAATAAGACGAAGCGGTTCTCCGAAAGCGCCGTCAAAATACGATAATCGAATTCATCCGGAGGGAGAAACCAGAAGCGGTCGGGGTGGAGCGAGAGAGCTCAATATCCTTTCCTTCCTCTATCAGCCGATACGTGAGCCTATGTAGCAGTAGTGAGGAAAAAGGAGACAGAGAAAAAAGGAGGAAAAAAAGAGAAGGCGTGTCATATATACGAAAAAAAGTAGAAGGCGTCTAACGGAGACTCAGACACAACTAGAAGGATGGATGCTCAAACGGAGAAGCTGTCATCCAAAGCCACCCACATACAAGGAAGACTAGGCAAATGGACCAGTGTCTTCTTTCGTCCTGCTCTTTTCCAATCAAACTTGTGAGCGGGGAAGTAAGAAACGTAGGAAAAGAAGAATGAGAAGAAGAAAAAGGAAGTATGTAAAAAAACGACGACGAAGAAACAGAACAGAAGTCGATGGAAAACGACGGGAAATGCACCGATTATACATACTCTTTCTCTCGTTTTTTTTCTTTTTCTTCTTCTTTTCATTCAGTTCCATTCAAAATTTCCTAATAGCTGCAGTTGGCAGCTAAACAGAATCTATCTGTTCTTCGTTTTAAAAGGAAGTTAGCGGTGATGGACACAGAGGCCGAACAACAAAAAAGGAAATCTGTCATTAAATATATATCCAGAGAAATAACAATAATAACAGTAGTGGGCCAATGTTCTCTTCTATTTCAAAAGAGTCACTTGCACTTTGTCACTCTAAATGATAGATGAAGGGGAGATATTGCCCAGAGAGCTCAGTGAGTTCAGTGTGCATTCGAAATGAGTCGTCAAAAGAACAACTTCCTATGACAGAGCACATCAAAGGACATTCTAGAGAGAACCGTGTGACTTTCAACTAAGTGCCAATCAATCCAAAAAGTTTAGTTTAGCAAATTCAATTTGAAAAAGCTGTTGTGTAGAGAGAGAGAAAGAGTCTCCAAAAGCGGCGCGCGACCTTTTTATTCATCTTTTGTTTGCAGTAGAACAGAACACTGATCCTATATAAATTCTCTTTTCCTTCTTTTGGTGAGTTCCCTCTTGGTATATTTTTTTGCTCCAACTATATCATCTTTCTGTTTTTCGTTGTTGCCTCTCTAGACCTCCCCAAGTATGCTCATTTAGCGCCGCCGCCACCAAAATCCGATTCTTTCTGGTCGTCTCAGGTGGAACGGAGGAAGAAAACAAGATCAGAAAAATAAGAAGAAGAAGAAGGGAACGTCCGGTATAAATAGAGATATTATAGGCTTCTTGTTCTGAACACCTTCAGATATCAGAATCCCAGTGTTCAAAAACAAACTGACATGATTTTTTTTTTCAAAAATTTAAAATAAGAGAAAAGACTCACCATTGGAAGAACTGGTTCCAACACTGGGAAGTGCTCCTGTAGTTGCTTGTGCAGCTACCGAGTCTCGTACTGGCGCTAACACGTCAATCATCGTTTTGGATGCGCGTAGAGGTGTGACAATGTTCGTCGAGTTCCCTGGAGCGCGGATTGTTCCAAAAAACTGCAAAAAGTATGAATTCATGTTTTGAAACTAGAAGAAATATCAGTTTACTTACCGCCTGGGTCTGGTGACTATTGATGTGTTGTTGACGTGGCAAGGATTGCTGATAAGCGTAGTTCGATCGAACGGCTTGCTGACCAAGAAGTTGAGAACTTGAAGACTGTGGATTTGAGTAAAGTGATGACGATGTCTGTTGAAGTGGAGCCAAGTGTTGTTGAGATCCACCAAGACGACGTTGCTGTTGAGCTTGTCCACTTGGAAACTCGTAAGATCCTGTAAATAAGTCCAATTAGCAATAGAATGGTGTTTATTTGGTTGGTGGGAAGAAGAAAACACAAATACATATATATTGATAAGAAGTGTAAGAGACCAAGTGATCTTAAACCAATATATGAAAAAGGTATGAATGAATGTCGTGGGGACTAATGAATAATTAATGGGAGAACTCTGCTGACGCAGCTAGGAAAAGAAAGTTTTTTTTTGAGCAATGGGCCGACGACTTCTCGAATTTTGGAATTTCGGATGGCTGAATATCCAAGAAAATATCAAAAATTCAGGAATGAGAAATAAGAATTTTCGAAATAGAAGTCAGTCATGAGATGACATGAAAAATAGGAATGAAAAGAATGAAAAGACTAAAAGAGAGAAGACTGAAAATATTGGGGAAAGTACTATATGGACGTGAATTGAAGTGCGGAAGGGAAGAATGCTGCAAACTGGCAATGAGCAAAAGCTCGCGCCCGTCGCCCAACTGACCGGAAAAACAAACACGGTATTGGTCCAGGAAGGAGTCTCTCCTGGAACTGCTGCGAGTGATGCGTGAGCTACCGCGTGCCGCCCCGGGTGTCGCGTGTGCTGCTAGGGAGGCGGCTCTCCAAATACGGAGCACTAGGGGATGATGATGGAAAGAATCGACAAAAAAAGGGAAAACAGAACACCACAGTCGAACCGTATTCCGGTTTCCCCTGCTGAGAGTGCGGAAGGATTTGTACTCAATGCGCAGAGACGCTCGACGTTTGACGCGCCCCGGAAAGCCGAGCAAACCGATTGGAGAGGGGCTCGGAACAGCTGGCGCCGCCGCTGGCCGCTGGCCGAATGACGAACGATTTGCAAACCGATTGACGTATTTGGGTGGCACAGGTCAGACGAAAAGAAAAACCACGGAAATCAGCAAGTCAAACAATAGGAAAGGATAATGATAAGATCCCTGGATGCATCTTCAAAACGTTGAGGATTAAGAGAAAAAGAGGAGAAAGTAGTGCAACTATTCGTTAGCCTAGTATAAGTCTCTTCATGTCAAACATCTTCTTAGTGAAATGTGTCCTTGAAAATTGAAATTAGATCTTGTGATACGGATGTTGTTGTGATATCCAAAACAACATGATTTCAGATTGTATGAACTACCGTAATCTCGTCTAGACTTCTTCCATTGTAAATATTTCCAGAATATGAATTCATAAAGATAAATTTGAATTGTGACGGATGGGTGAGAGGAGAGAAGAACTCCATCTTCATCATTGCCACACACGCACCTGACGACTTTTGCTCCACCGAACTCACTGATGTGAAAAAGAGAAGAAGAGCAGAGAAAAGCTGACCAACAGGTGACCCTACTTCTCTGGGATACACAAACCTTGATCTGTCACAAAATTGCGTGCTCAAAGATGTTCCATGGAAACGTCCGTCCACAGACTGACAACAAAATTTCATATTCAATTTTTAGTGAAACAAAGAGCAATGTTCTACTATGTCGGTTTTTTGTTGCAGGGTTCCCTAATTCAATTTGATTCAACCAGCTACAACCGAGGAGCCGAACAGAAGAAGAAAAAAACAAAACAGCTCATTGCAAACAGATCGAAACAGTAGGCAAACAAGCTTTTGGAGCCTGACGCCGAGCGATTGAATGGACAGTGGGCAGTTTACGTGAGTGCTTTCGTCATCCACGCCAAGAAGAACGACGAGGGGTACTGTTTACATTCGCACAACGAAAATGGGCAAAAGGAATTGGAGTTTACAAAAGTGTAGACGACGGGCGCGGAAGAGACGCGCTTTGCCGCGTGTGTATGCTCCAGGGCTTGGAGATCACAAAACGAAAAAAGAGGAGAAAAACGCTGAAGAGAAGTGTACTTTTTAGGCCCGGGCAAGTTTTAGTTTGTCGAGGTGAGAAAAAAACGAGTTGAAGCATAAAAAGAAGAAGAATAAAAAGAAGTAGTGGAAAAAAACACATTTCAGGAGAAGCGCGAAGAAGAAGAGGCACACCCTTTTAGTCAGAAGACTTCCAGGTGGAAAAAATATGGGGAAAGGAAATTAAGATTAGGCTTGATGGGATTATCGTCGTTACGCTTGCTCTCTCTCACTGACTCCCACGAAAAAGTGAGGGAAAAAAGATACAATTACGTATGTAGAAGAAGAAACTGACGTGGCAAACAGAAGGCGTCGATGATTTTGAATTCGGTTCCGTCGGAGATTAGCCACCACAAAAGATCACGGAATGTCAGATAGCTTATAAATGTTTTTTTGGGATTTTCATGGGATTTCCAAAATCCAAATACGAGGTCAAATGTAAGAGTATAATAGAAACGAGCTCATATGGATTTAGCAGGAATGGCTTAAATTCGAAAAAACTTTAGAAGACTAAAGTAAAATAGCTTTAGTAGTCGTCGGTAACTAGGTGACAGTGAGAATGCAGGCAAAAATTGTCATGGCGATGTGATGAGACACGTCGTTGACGCCTTCTGGTCTTCCCTTCTCTCTTTTTCTCGAGACAGCCATGTCGACCGTAAAGAATTATATTTTTCTCTTCTTGTTTTTTTTCAGATCGAGACCCAAAGTATTTTAGATGGAAGAAGACAGCAGAAGAACTGGTACTGCAGCTGCTGACATAAAAAAATGTCGTTCCTCTTTTCCGTCATTTTCTTAACGTTTTTTGGAATGCCCTCCGAACGGGGGAGTATCTTGACCGATTTCAAGAGGTTTTCGTATTTCAACTAGGCCAAAGATCCGTCTAGTCAAATAAAAGTTTAGGGTCATATGATTATAGCATCAAGCTAAAAACGTCCAAAAGGAAAATCAGGAAATAATAAATCGGGCGAGGTTCATCATTTTTGCAGATAAGCCTCGTGAGCCCCGATGGAGGGCAGATGAAGAGGCAAAATAAAAAAAGTTAATCCGTCTTCGATTTGGCACGTATTATAGGGTGTTCTGTGAATGAATTGGACACAAATGTGGACGACGACAAGGAAATGGATACGAAAATGGGGATGATGAGTCAAAGTCTTGAATCTGGAAATGGGGAATACAAAAAAGAGGAAAGAGAGGCATTATCAAAAATCGAACTGGAAAGTAAGCTAAGTAATGGTGGCATGAGCAAAAAAGTTCGGGTAGAAACTAGACACAAGCCCTAATTACACGAACATCATACGGATGTTGTTGACACAAGAAAAAAAGTGACGTGGCACTTTCTACATGCTTCTTCTTCTTGTTCGGCTTCTCGGTTTCAGTATCATCACACGTACCGTATTCCCTTTAATAGAAGCCCACCCAAACCGTCAACTTTGAGATCAATTATCTCGATTCCTGTGAAAGATATCAAAAAGTTGTCAACTGACAAAAAACTTCTAATGTTATGATAAACAATTTATCAGTTGACAAATTGCTGATATCTTTTACAAAATTTGAGAAAATTGAGCTCAAAGTTTACGGTTTGGGTGGGTTTCTATTAGAGGTAAGTGTCGGAAATTCAAAAAATCAGGTGATTCTATGTTTAAAGAAAAATTCCAGATTTTTTTCGAATCGAAACTGGAAAGGAAATCAACTGGAATAATCTCTAAAGAATTTTATTTTCACTTAACACCAGAAGGACTGTATGTTCTGGAAGAATTTATGAAAAGAAACAAAGTTTTCTGAAAACCTTGAACTGTGAATCATTGTTGGAAATTTCTGGACGAGACTCAGAAGTTTATATAATTTGTTTTGTATAGAAATCAAAATTATTTTCTCTCTCTCTCTCTCCCTCTCTCTCTCTCTCTCTCTCTCTCTCTCTCTCTCTCTCTCTCTTTCTCTTTCTCTTTCTATTGGCAAATTTAAAAATAAACGAATCCGACGATTCAAGCCTGTGGGGTTCATCCTGATAACATGGGGTTCTTATTTGGACGGCTCTAAAAAATATTGCCAGAAGATTTTGAAAACATGTTACCAGATGAATAAGGAATTAAAAAAAGGAAGAAGTTAAGAAATATAAGAAAGAGATAAAATAGGAAGAATAAACTATAGAAACGTCGTAAAGAGTGTCGAAGTCGTGGTGAGTGTTTATGCAAAAACAAACAGAAATATGGGGTGAAGGAAAGAAAGAGAGAATAGGGGAGCTCCGCGGGGAAAAATATAAATTGGCTCATGAAGGACTGGAGAAGTGTATCAGACACGGGAGGGCAAAAGTACTATATAGATGGGGGGGGGGGTACATTACGTTTTCAAAAATAAATTATGATTTTCAGTATAGGTTATAGGAGCAAGAGAATGGCAACATTGGTATAGAAATGAAATATGATTCGACTACTTTTTGAAAAGTTCCGAATACAAACAAAATGGCTTGACGGAGTGTGTGAATGAATAGAGTACAAACTTCTTCTTTTTGTTCTCGTCCCGATGAAGATTTCCGGTTTTTTTCTAGTAATCAAGAAAAGATTATGAATATTTTGTTAGAGTGGTAATATAATACTAGAGGTGGTGGGAGGAAAATATTCGAGAGAATCTTAAGATTAGTATGAAATCAACAAATTTGGCTTCCATGAGAATGTATGAGAATAACAACTTTTCAGAAAGAGCATAAAAGTTATATATAAGTCAATTTCACCTGATTACACTTCTATATACGTCAGAGAAAACTTTGTAGTTCTCTCTATTCAAACATTTTTATGAAGTGTGCGTTATAGAATTTTCAGCTGCTAGTTAGTTTTCAAAACCAAAAATAGATGTATATCAGACTATGATAATTTCCAAACGGAAATTCCTCTGGGGAATAGGGGATAATCTCACCAGAAAAAGAGGAGAGAAAACTAAAAGATAGAAAAAAGCTATAAGATTTAAATGAAGCCAAATAAATTCCGAAAAAGAAGGAAGATTCTTCTTTTTCTTTTTCATCGACTTCTTCTATTTCATTTTTCCTCCCGAGAGAGGCCTTCCTATACTACTACTATAGTGTTCTTTTCCGACCGACGCGATGCCTGGCGGCCCAGGAGGCCATTCAGAAGATAAAAAAACGCCATTGGTCTATTGAAAGTCGGTGTTGAAAGGACAGCGAAAGGACGAAAAAGAAAAAGCTGTGAAAATGATTGTGATGATGAGCGTGAGAAGAAGAAGCAGAAGAGGAATTTGAAAAGAAGAGGTGACACAACCAACAAAAAATGCGTGAAGTTGTAAGACCTTGAAGCAGAAGAAGAAGGAGAAAATAAGGACGAAAAGAAATCAGATTTGCATTCGGAAGAAGTAGAACAAAACTCCGTGTGTCCCGTAGACGCCGGAAAAGGAAAGCGTGTGTGTGCTCTTTCCCCGAAGAGAGCAAAATCTTGTCTCGAAAAGAAAAGAGGGTAATTGGAGGTAATGCAAAAAGGAGAAGACAAATAATGCAATGAAAAACTGATATCTTGGCTGTGGATCTGCAAAGGATGGCTCTAGAAATTAGGAAGACATTGAGAAAAAGGAGGGGAAATATATGCAAGAACTCTCTGACGTAAAAGACTAAACTTCAGAGGAATGGGGAAGAAAAAAGTCAAAATCTATAAACACCGTAAAACCTGTATCAGAAGAGCCGGCCCTATTTTTTGTTCCAAGGTACATCCGGGGGCCCTTCTATTACAGGGGCCTAATGAAAAATCGATTTCACCAAATTGAGCAGGTTTTTCTGCAAAAAATTTCAACAAGTTTCTAAGAAATTTCGGATTTTTCAGAATACGTTTTAGTATGAAAATTGAAAACTTACCAAAATTTTTTAATGTCCAGCATCACATTGTAAAGGGGGCCTTCTAATACAGGTTTTACGGTAATCAAATTTTCAACTTTGAGAATTTTAAGAACTTATTTTGATGAAAATTCAAGCGCAGAGTATTATGAATTCGAAATCAGTTCTCACAGAAATTTTGGAATGTGAAAAAATACTGATTTTTTAATGATATTGAAAGACAATTGATACAAATTCCTCGAAATTCTTCGATTCAGAGAATTTATGTAAAAAAAAAGAAGGAAATAGTTACAAGAAATGTGGTCTAGAAATGGGTTTCCTTTTTCCAAAAAGTGCAAGAGTCCTTTTCTTTTTTCGAAGAAAACTTGAAATTCTTTCGTAGAACAAGAAGAAAGGAAGAAGAATGAATAGGAAGATTTGAAGATTTACAAGAAGAAAGAAATCTCTAAATGAGCAAAACTCGTAGATTAATATAAAACGACTTCTTTGCCGCCGAAAATTGGCTTTATTTGGCATTTGAAACGAGAGAAAATGACCACAAGAGAGGAGCTTCTGTGGACAACGAATAAGAAGAAGAAGAAGATATAAATAAAAAATAAAACTGAATAATCGATTACCGCACATGTGTAGCTTTCTCTCTTCCATTTCTTTTTCAACTACTTTATGTATATGTGTTCGGAAAAAGTGGATACGTACTAGTAGCAGAATAAAAGAAAGAGAAAGAGAGAAAGTGCTAGCCTGCTTGGTTTCCAAAGTAGAAGAGGAAAATTGGAATTTCCGTCGTTACTTTTCTCCACACATCGACGTGTAGATTCTGTCGCGTAAGTGGTCAGAAACCGAGTTCGACAAAATTTTCTTCGTTTTGCTCGGCGACTTGAAGCCCTTTTCTCGCAGAAAAAAACAAGAAAGAATTACACTGATCAGAAAAAGAACGCCTACTGATTTTCAGATACAAAAAGAAAATGATAAGTGACGTCTGAGAGAGAAGGAAATTAGAGTGAGAGAATGAAATCAACGACGAAATAAAAATAGAAACTCCAAAAAAAAACTAACCGTTGTCGAAGGATGATGTGTGAATGTAGTTGACGAGGTGTGGATTGGCGGATGAGTTTATAACTGGAGGAGATATATCTCGAATTGCTTGCTTCAAATCACGCGAATAGGTACCTAATGGCCCGTGGAGATTGCTCGTTGAGGAGTTTGTCGAAGATGGTTGATGATAACTTCGTGTGAGAGTGTTGCCTGATCCAAGTGCCGGATTACGGTGACCCTGTAATATTCCTTTGTAAATAATAACGATAGATGGCTGATATGTATATCGGGACAAATTTAACCAATGTAGAAAATTTGATTCGAAAATTTCTTTCTAAACTTTTCTGCATTTTTTCCTCAATTGTATTTTCTTTCATGTTCCGCCCTAATTCAGATTTACATGTAATTTTTTTCAGAACTAAATGTACTTTAAGAATTTTTATCTTATCAAAATTGTTGCCATGTTATGTATTTTCCTATAATTAATACGGAAAAATTCAAAGAAAAATTCCGATATTCCCGTAAACCTCCATTGAAAGAGAAAATTTTGCTGAAAAAGTTGGCGAATAGGGATGAGGATTTGAAATTCCGCGCAGTGAAAAACCTAGTCCATGGGATCTCGGATATTTTATGAATTTTTCCGAAGGGACGTTCTAAAAATTCGTAACATTATGAACATTTTAATGCGAAATTTTCAAACAATTTCAGTCGGAGTCCCTCTTTATTAAAAAAAAGACTAACCTGTGCAAGACTGTTACTGCTTGCTGAGTGTGGTGATCCTCCTATGAGAGTTGGTGGTAATGAGTTGTGTGAATGATAAACTGGATGATGATGGTTGGAGCTTGAAGAAGAAGCTCCAGAAAAAGATGACGGCGCGCGGCGAAAGACGCCGATTGTGGAATCTGAGGTAGATAGAGCTGCCGGACGAGTGTAGTTGATGTTGGACACTCACTGAAATAAAATAATTAAATTTACAGGGACTCGAATTAGGTCAAAATTTCAAATGGGCGTTGTAAATATTGAAATGTTTCATAGAAGAGTATTAGGGTCAAAAATTTATGTTTACAAATCTATTGGCCTAGAAAATTAAAGTTCTTCTTTCTATAGCCACCTTAGTATTTTGATACCCCAGACTGAAAAACAAGGGAGAACATAATTACACTCTCAAAATCAGAATCTAATACAAATTTTTGTCTGAAAAACATGAAATCGTAAAAAAACCTCCGACTACTGCCATCTACGAGGGAGAGTGAGTCTGTAAATCTAGAAAACAACAAAAAACAACTAATACGATTTTTTATGAACTAAAAACCGCGAGACACAGTATCAAAGAACTTTTAGGATGTGGAAGAAGAGATAGAAAATATATGTGTCAGTTCGAGAAAAAGAATTGGGTTGAAAAAAAATCTTATCAAAAACGAGATAATCATCTTCGAATAGGCCTTCTCGGCCGTTTTTTTCTGTTTTTTTTATCTCTATCAATCAATGTATTCAGAATTGAGAATAGACAGTGTAAAGTACATCATGCATCAGCTGATTTTGGAAGATCTATTAATTTTAAAAATGAAAAACTATAAATTGAAAAATAGGGTCGATTTGTGTGTGAACACTCTCTCCACTCACACCTAATTCATTCTCACTTTCTTCATACATTATTAGCCATGCAAAAAGGGAGAGAACCAAAAGTGAAAAGAGAGAGAAAAGCAGGCGAACGTCGTTGCCGCCTAATCTATTCATTTTCCCTCTCTTTTCTATAAATCAATTGCCATCATCCTCATTGCCCATTTTATTAATAGGTACGTTTGCCTTCTGTTTTCCCTCCTCCTCCTGCCGACGACGACGCCTCGTTTTCACTTTCGAAACATTTGAAACACACAGAAATCTCTCTTTTTATTCAGTATTAGGAGGAAGACGCAGATGCAGAAACGAATTATACTATATCTACAGGTATAGTGTCAATTTGAAGTTTCATTGGGAGGAATAAACTATCTTGCCACTATTTGAACAACAGGATTTTAAAAGGATTGTTGAGTCGTACTTTTAAAACTTAGTTCTAGACTCTTGATTTCAAAATACATTTGAATATCGAACCTAATTCGTTTGAAACACCTGTTTTGCTAATTGACATATTAACATTGAATCGGAGAAAATGGTGGGATAATTTGTTGAGAATCATAAAGATTTCCCTAATACCGTATTTTCACTAATAGAAGCCCACTCAAACCGTCAACTTTGAGCTCTCTTGCCTCGATTCCTTGGAAAGATATCAAAATATTGTCAACTGATGAAATATTAATGACATTATGATAAATAATATATCAGTTGACAAAATTTTGCTATCTTGCAGAGGAATCGAGATATTTGAGCTCAAAGTTGAGGGCTCTGGAGAGCTTCTATTAGAAAAAAATACGGTATAGAAAAAATCTCAAAGGAAATATAAAGATCTTCTTTGGCTGAAATATCATAAAATGAGCTTATGGATCAGACTAACATGGATCATCTTCCACCCCCAACATATCTTGTTTTCCTAGGTTTGCTTTTTGAATAAATATTTTATCAGTTCTAGAACACTTGATTTTTGATTCTCAGCTAGAAATTAGATACGCTAAGGATGTTTCTAATTTCTAGCTTTTATCGAATGACCTTCTTACGATACATCCCGACAGTATCCTTCATTTCTTAAGTTACACAATCCAATTTACAAAGATCTTATCCCTCTTGCCATTTTTCTCGAATTTTCCTATCTTGATTTTGCCTTACTAAGGAAACTGCATACCTCGTAAGATTCTGAAGACTTGGAAGTTTGTTAGAAAACGTTGAAATATTAGAATCAGTCAGAGAGTTCTTCATTTTGAAGAAAAACGAGGATGAAATGAGCTTGAGAGCTCGACTTAAGAGTAGGAGGCGTTTCTTTCAGAAAAATGAGAACTAGATGAGAGAAATGAAGAGGGTGAGACATGGAAGAATTGTGTTCAAAACTACATTAACAGACGGTTTTATGTAGTCGTTAGTACAAAATCTCGCTGGTGTCAGGGGCTCAAGAAATTTTGGACAAAACACAAAGAGAATTGAGAATTCGTTAGAGATCAGTGTACAAACACAAAACGAACTGTAATGACATGAGAAGATTGTGTGTTAGATTGGGAGGAAAAAACTCTTAACGACTGTAGGGAAAGAATAGAAAATGGGGAATCCCTTTTAGAGGCAAACCGGGTTTTTTACGAGTTGTTTCCATGCCTTTGCCTCTCGGGGGGTTTCATTGCGAATCTATTTGTCTCTCCTGTCCGACCACAAGGTCCTCAAGGTATTGAGAAAATACCAAATTAATGATTGTAATTAAGAAATAAAAAGTGGAAGAAGAGGCCGAGAAAAGTGGAGTGGTATCAGCCATATCTGAAGGTTAAGGTTTTTTTGGTGAAGAGGAAAAATGGGGGAAGACTGATATCAAGACAAAGATCGGGGAACAGTTTTTGAAAATGATCAAAAAAGGGAATTAATTGATCCTCTGTTCGGGTATCTCCCAACAATGACTCATCAAAAATTCTAGACTTTAAGGTATATGTAGAAAGAATTCCTAGATAAAACGAAATACCATAAAACCTGTAATAAAAGAGTCCTCAAACTTTTAACTTGAGATATTGAGCTCAAACTTGACAGTGTGAGGGGCTTTCCATTACAGATTTCACAGAAGGTTTGACAAAACTTGGAAATAACTTTTAAAGTTTTAGTAATCAACTATAGGAGTTTTCACAGAAAAATCAGACTACATTTTTTCACAAAAAGGTCACACACCGTATTCCCTCTAATAGAAGTCCACAATCCGTCAATTTTTAGCTTGATTATCTAGAATCCTTTGAAAGATATCAAAAATTTGTCAGCTGATAAAACATTGGTGATATTTTGACAAATAATTTATCAGGTTACAAATTTTCGATATCTTACACTGAAATCGGGATAATTATGGTGAAATTTTTACGGTTAGGTGAGCGTCTATTATAGGAAATACGGTAGTTATCACAGTATACACATTATACTTTTCTGAATGTTTGAATCATACGCTAGTTTATTCTCACAGATGGTTGAAAAAGTGTACTCCGAAGAACAATCAGAAGACATTTAGAAATTGGATAGGGCCATAAAAGAAGTCGTCGAAAGGGAGTCATCGAAGTCAAATTTCTTCCAATTTTCTTGAAGAATCTTAACGATGAGAAAATGACGTGGTTGAACTCAAAGGAGATGATTCCATTCGAAATCTTCTCTTTTCTTCTTTTCTTCTGGCACCAATCATTTCAAGGGGAACACTGATTGACTTTCGAGCATTTTACACTTTCTATCTCTTGTTTAAATTGTGTTGCATTCAGTGAAAACGAGAAGAACAAGAGATATGATGAAAAATAATTGATATTTTGGAAAGAGCAATTTGATTGTATAAAACTAAATGGAGGAAAAAAACTATTGACTGTATAGTGAAATCGCGTTTTGTATACTTTTTAGGTACTCAATAAGTGGTCATTGAGAAGAGAATTCCGATGAGAAAGAACACTTCTTGATTCTCGATTAAACTGTTCATTTTTTCTAGTACCATCTTCATTCAATTTTCCTTTTATTTACTAGTTTTCATTGATACCGTAATCTGCATTATCCAAATTTTTTACAACATTTTGACCCTAACAAGTTCCATCCTTCTTCTTTTTCTTCCATAAAAAATGATGCAAAAACATGTTCCGGTTTTGCTAATTAGCGGGAATTATTGGGAAGAACAACAATTACTTTACAGCAAGAAATTGGAACCTGGGGGTCTAAATATGAGGATCACTAAAAAAAGAACCAAGGGACCGCCCATAGAAAGTGTAAAGTTTAATGGGAGCCATATGGGAGGTAAGAGTTTCAATATGTTGACGAATATAAATGATCGTTTCTGGAGAACATGAACTTTAAAAAGCCTACACAAAAGTGGAATAAAATCCTATCTGACTCTCAACCACTTTCAAAGATTCTAGTTTCGCAATAGCCTCTCATCCACAAAATGACGATAACTTTTATCTCAAATTTCAAAAAAGTAACACAACTCACTGAGAAACTGATCGTCCTTGTGCATCCAGACTCATTACACTTCGGTCTCTTTGACCCTGAAACAATAATTTTTAGAGTTTTTTGAAACTGAACTTTCCATCCAACCTGTTGTGTGACATCAATCGGTTGCTGTCCATAACTTCGGCTGTTACGTGTAAATGAGGCAAGAGCAGCCATGATTAACAACTACTCTAGACTGCAAGTTTGAAGAGAGACCTGAAATTTGAAAAAAGGGTAAAGTAGGTAATTGATGGGTAATCGGATCAAATAACCATGGCAGAAGACGTTTATACTTGTTATCAGGAAACACAGCACCGAACGTGGGGACAAGTTGGAGCAGAAGATAAGAGGAAGGAAATCGGGTGAAAAGGAAAAAAGAAAGAAAAAGAGAGAGAAATAGTCCGTCTTCTTCTTGTTTTCCTTTCATTTTTTTGCAGAGAAACTTCTTGTGAGAAAAATGTCGTGTTGCGGCGGATCGAAAACATTGTAAAAGAGCAAGAGACCCAGAGAACGAGCAACAAACTTTTTTGAATGGTACGAGGGGAACGATGATAAATTGATAGGGATGCAATGTGTTATGGGGGAGAAGAGGAAACCCCATAGAGTCAAATAGTAAAAGAATCAAAGAAGAAGAAGAATAACGGTCTGGAGAGTGGGCAAACATATGATGCAGAGGAGTTGTATATTGATAACACGATAGCTAGACTTTTATGCACTTTTAAAGTTCTCCTCGTATTCCAATTTACGATAGTTTGGTCACGAGAGCAGAGAATCAGCTAGCACCAAAAAAGATAGAATGGACACAGGTCAAATCGTATCAGTTACAGGTAGAAATTTGATCTAAAGAAGAAGATAGAGAGAAGAGAAAAAAGTTCTTTTGATTTTTATGTACTTCAGAGAGTAAACTAGAGAGAAATTTTGTATTTTCTAAATGGTGAAAATGCTCTGAATCAGCTTTTCTGAAATCTGGGAACATCTGTACATCAACCAGTTTCCCAAGAAGCTTTCAGAGAAAATTTAATTTCCTATATCAGGTGATAATCCGGAAAAAAACCCTCTCAAAAATGTACGTTCTAATCGATTTTATGAATTTTTTCCTGAATTTTGTTTTAAAACTTTGTTTCAATTGACAAAACTTGTACCTCCCCACAGGGTTTCAAAAGTCCTAATCAGAAATCGCGCCCCAGCGAACGTGAGCTTGTGGCTTCCTTTTTTCGTCGGCTGAGTATCAAATGTAAAACGATGAGCGAAAAAGCTCGCGGTGGTCAAAAACATACAAAATCCACTTGAAATTTTAAAGTTTCGTTCGACCTAAAAGTTATCTGGAGCGCGATTTCTGGCCAGTGCTTTTGGAACCCTGTGAACCTCCCCTTTTTCACCAAAGCCAAGAAAATCTTTGTTTGTCTCGCAGAGCATAATCGAAGACTAGAAATTAATGAGATGCGATTTGATTTTTGATATAAGATTCCGACTTAAATATCAAATGAACAACCGGAAACTGAGAAAAAAAACACTGAATCGGATTTCCGGATAACGCTAAAACTGGAACTAGACATTTCCAGCAGAAAAAAAATCTCTCCTAATTTTTTAAACACTATAAAAACCGTTACTTAAATCTGAGGATAATCTTTCAAATCATAATAAATGCTCATAGGGACAATCTTGAAGATCTAGAAGAAACTTCAGGAACAGAAAAATTCACTGATCCCTCTTGTAAACCAGAAAAAAGCGGAAGGATTCCAAAATATGTTGACTAGAAATTTAAAGAAAAAAAGGAAAAGAAAAAGAGGAGCGGGAGAGCGAGAAAGTGTGAAAGATTCATGGTGTAGGCCTGGGTTGTGGTTTCGGAACGAAAAGAGAGGCGTATCTCTTCTGGAATAAAAAATAGATATCGTACGATTGGTAAAATGATAATGGGTGAAAAAGTGCATTCGGGGTCATAGTCAATTGGGCGTGTATGAGCAGAGAGAAGGACGAAAAACACTGTTTGGAAGAAGAAGAAGAAGGATGAGAGGTACAAAAGTTCTGGGCGATTATTATCGAATGAGGAGGAAAAGAAGGAAAAAGGAGGGAAGGGTGTATCTGATGGTGCAAAGAAATAGAGAGACAGACGGCACGGCATTTACGGCTATTTGGACGGTGTGATTTATTAGGCACATGGAGACAGGAAAACCGATTCGCTAAGGAACACCAGAATAGGAAGAAGAAGGTTCCGATCAAAACTACTTTCATTAGGATGTAAATTTGAATTGACAGGTAGGAGAAGATCTATTGGTTTTGAAATTACAAGCCCTGTGAGCTCGCCGGCCTGCTTGGTGTCAAATCGATTTTAATTTGCCTCCATCAGTGAAACCTTCCGTTTCAGAGTTCTACGCCGCTGGCCGTGGCCGAAGATCTCATAAAGACAATTACCGTAACCGAACAGTTTGAAATTTTCGATTTGTTTGGGGAAAAATACAGAAAAATCGACGAAAATCAGTAAAAAACATGAATACAAATTCTGAAAATACAAACATTTTTAGGTTACTGTAGTTGTTGTTGTGGGACCATCGGTCATGGCCACCGGGTGTTTTTATTCCACAGCTCCGAATTTTTGTATCGGATTATGAGCTTTGGAAGCTTAACTTTTATTGGGAAAATACCAAAAACAATTCAATCTAAATCTAATTCCTATTACCAAAAATGAAAATTTTGAAAACCACCAGAAGAAGCAAAAAAAACACAGTAAGAGAAATATTGTTCAGTTATGTAAATATCAAAAATGTCATCCTCCATTGTATTTCCATGGACTCTTAAACAAAAAAGAAACCATAAACAACACGGGGCTTGATTCAATGATACCGTATTCATATTCAAAAGAAATTTTATGAAAAGATATAAATGATTTGGAAGTGAGCCGCCGTCAGGGTTTGCCAATTGACCGCGCGGCTTCATCAAAGATAAACTATCCATACTGTCGTTCAGAAACAAATATGTTATTTTTGAAATCAAAAGTGAATATATTCAAGAGGGAAGAAGTGTAAAGACTGTTGAAGCATGTTCCACTTCTGATTAGGAATTTAAAAAAAAAGGGAAATACGGAAATGGCGTTTTTGGATTGGGTTTCGTTCACTCAATGAATGGTGAATTGAGGGGGGAAATGAACGAGGCAAAGACGAGGCGAAGAATCGTGTCCAAAAAATGACGGTGAAGGTCGAGTGGAGACAAGAAAATAAGAATGGAGAGGAAGGAAAATATGAAAGGGGCGGGGCCAGTCATCCGGAAAAAAAGAGCATGGAAGTTAATCGAACAAGAAGGAGTTATGATGATGTTGCCTCCATAGCTAATACCATTAGACACATACATTCCCTCAAAATGAGGTTTGCGTGATTTTCGAGATATTTGATAAATCGAAAAAGTCCAGAGATCCAGAAGAGGAACTTCAAAGAAGAAAAGAGAAGCTGAAGTGTTCTTGAGCATCGTCAAAAAAAGAAAAAAGGAATTGAAAGATTTTGGATTCCGGAAGATAAGAAGACGAACTCGTGAAGAACTCGAAGGGGGATAACGAGACAACATGCGTGATTGCATTTGAGTTAAAAAGAACCAAAAAGTGGAAAAAAAAGAGCAAACCAATGTTGAAATATGAAGCGACGTCTAAAAAGAAGAAGACGGAAAACTGCTGTAGCTTCGGAAAGGGTGATCGGCGTTTGGGATGTGTAATTGTTGGGGAAAGAAGGAGAAGCTGCGGAAGTAGAAAAATGAGAAGGGGTAAAACAATCGAGACAAGAATGAAGGAGAAAAACGAACCTAGAATTACCAAATGTGTAAATGTGAAGAGGTTTTCACTTTCTGAAGGGTCAGACTGAAAACGAAGAAAAAGAGAATCAGAAAATTTCCGACCACAGTAATTTTGACTTATTGAAGGAAGATGCCGACCAAAACTTTTATTGCATTAAAATGTTTTAGAAGTTGTGAATTTTTTTAAATGAAACTGTGAAAAAATGAAAATCCGAAAATCCCGAAAAACGCCGTTGCAAATAAAAAAACTGGCGAATAGGGACGAGGATTTGAATTCAAGCGCAGTCAGGATCCTAGACCACGGCAACGTTTTACATGACGATTCTTCCGGATTTTTTCACTTTTATCTCCGGCACGTAAAGAATGTCAAAAACCACTGTCGGCCACTTTAAGAAGGCGTCCCGCAGCCGTGGCCTAGGTTTCTCACTACGCGGGAACTCAAATCCTCGTCCCTATTCTACACCAAATTTGTACTTTAAACAGATTTTTCCGAGGATTTTGGATATTTTTTGAACTTTTTCATAATAATTGAGTTTTTCGTAATAAAATTCAAAACATTTTGGTAAACGAAAAAAAAATTTGATCGTAGTTCTTCTTTAAAAAATAAGCTATCAAAGAACACATATACTTCAAATACTGTCACAACGACAAGAAATTTGATGTGCACTTGTCGCTATGAAAATGTTCCAGATTTCTCCAAAAAAGAGCTATAGCTTCAACATCACAAATACCCATTCAAATGACAAACGTCAACCAAGAGAAGTGATACAAATCGAGTGACTGAATGATTCGTGTGAATTGGATACAAATCTGGGAGAAACCAACAAAAAAAGAAGCGTCCTGTGTCAGAAGTTTTCAAGGATCTGGAGACGAATGGCCCCGTGGGGGAAAGTTGAAGATTCAAGAAAAGGAGGAAGAAGCTGTCGCAATGAGGAGCACTTCTTCTACGCCCCTTTCACAAAACCAAAATCGAATCATGACAACAAAGGGATAAGAATCACAAAAAGAGTCACGGGAGGATTCTTTCTCTCTAAAATTTATTCCGAAGATTTTCAGAATTCTATTATTCTTGATCTATTTTTTGATGTTTTAGAGAGTGGGCGAATCGAATACTTTCTCGCCACCGGAATAGTGAGAAAGCAATAAAACGAAGTGGACCCTTGTCACGCGAACTTGTAGAAAAAAAACAACAAAAACCACAGACGAAGACAAATAAACAAGAAGAAAAAGTCGAACTCTCTTTCTCTCATCTCAAGAAAAGAATTTGGAATGACTGGTGACATTACTTTTGTACGATTTGACAAAAATACATACATTGTGAGTATGTGTCATTCATACCATCATGTGGTATGATTGATAGTACAACAAGAGTGACCATTGTTATTTTTCCGGGTTACTGTGTGTGTGTGTGTGTCCAGAAATAGATGGAATAATTATTCTGTAGAAATATGCTACCACATAAGAGGTTAGGAAATACTTAGAAAATCAAAGTTTTTAAAAATGGGAGAAAAGGTATGGAAGGTTTTGAAAAAAAAAACGAATTGCGAGTCGGCGATAAGAATCTTGGGTCCATCTCAAGGATGTTTCGAACGGAATTCGGAATTCCGAAAATTCAGACCGGAATAATTCCGAGAAAAAGATTAGGAATGAAATTCCGGTCGGAATACTTCCGAATGATTTTTTTTCGGAATGAAAGCCCGATCGGAATTTTTCCGTCGAATATCTAAATTTCCGAAATTTTCGGCATTCCGAAAAATTCCGAAAAGGCCATTCCGAACATCCCTGGTCCATCTATGGTCAGAATAAAATTTTTCATCTCGTGTGGTTTTCTTTTGAAAACCAACACTTTATTTAAAAAAACACAAAGAATACAACAAAATGAAAACTCTGAATTTTCCTACCTGAAGGCGATACTTCTAGGCTTGAGGTTTCAAAAAGAAAGCAAACATTTGAATCTACTGATTTGCCATAAAAGTCATGAGCATCTCCTCGCCTTTTATTCTTCTTTCAATCCCTCATCTTATTTACGCCGTCGATATCTCTGTCATCTTGTTTGGATGTATAGGGGGCAATAAAAACCAAAAAGGCATTTTTAATCAGAATCTCAAGTAGACGACGATCGCCTCAAGCATTTTTCGCCGACTCCCGCTCTCTCTTCACAGCTCTCGTAGCAATACTGAGAAGAGCACACATGCAAATATCGGTTGAGACTCAGATAAAAGGACCTAGGCCAAATCGAAAGGAAGAAGAAGAGCTTTTTGAATTGGGTCAAAATGTGATCAACCTGTTGTTAGGAGGAGACAAAAGTGAAAAAAGAGGAGGAAGAAGGAGGAGGGGATATATGTTTCTTTTTCTGATTGCCACCGACAACGAAAATGAGAAGTTTTGGTGGGATGCCACCATCATCGATGCGTGAAATGTGGTTCTTTTGTGTTGCGGAATCAGATACGGTTTCCTACGTTTTCTTCTGATTCCTAATCTCGTAACAACATGATTCCAGACGACAAGAGAATTCATTTCCATGGAGTAAATGAAATCCTAATTTACTTTTTTAGTGGTTTCTCGCTAGTGCACCAATTACTTTTAATGTGAATGATCATTTCAAGTGAATTTGAATTTTAAAAATAATTTCTGGACATCATCACTACAAAAAAGCTCAGCAGAAAATGTACTGACGGTGAGTCTGAAGGCGAAGAAGAAGAAGTAAGTCACGTTCAATTAGTGATGACGATGCATCGCCACATTCGGGACTCTTCTAGAAAACACAAACATACGGAAAGGGAGAAATCCGAAACAAATTATGTTAACGAACTGAGAAGAATCCGGATGATGGTGATGGTTTGCAGGTGCCTGAGAAGCAGGTGATGATGGACAGAAGAGAGGACGTTAAACGAGCGGAGCCCCCCGCACGGACGCCAGATGGTCGGTTGAGGGTCACTTGCCACGTTGCAAAAAAAAACATCGGAGGAAAGGTCGGGCAGACGGGGAGAAGTACCAATGGGTGCCATGTGAAGAATGAGCGAATGGATGGGAATAGAGGGAGTATTGGAGAACATAAAGAGAAGAGAGAATGATAGGATGATGGTGATGATCGGGCGTCATAATTTGTGGGAATCCTCTGGACACCATTCAGATGGACATAGAAAGTGTGAATGGACAAAACGGAAATGATGGTGGTGATAATGTGGAAAAGCTAGGGGAATAGTGAAGCAAGATGGTTTTTTGAAATTCAAAAAAAAAATTAAAAATGGTGTGATGAATGAAAACCCAGTTTAAGGGGAATCTTCAAGATCTGAACCAGACAATGTTAATAATTTCGATTTAAAAAAATTATGCGATTAATATATGTAGTAATTCCTAAAAATAAAATGGTAATTTTGATGATTTTGATGAATTAGAAATATACATATTGTTTTGTATAAAAACCTTAAAATTCTCTATTTTATGCTAAAATGCAAAAATCGGAGGTGTGGAAGAGGTCGCTGTCGATCTACTGTAGTACACAGATTTCGAAAATGTTTTCGATTTTCGTCGGTTTTCCGGCAATTTTTTAAAATCGGAAAAGTTTTATTTTCCGGAGTGAATGGACTTTTAAAGGTGGGGGACATGAAAAAAAAATAATGTTCTCGAAATTCCGTTCAAAGATGCCCCTCGGGGAGTTGAACTTGTGAGGGCGATGATTGAGGGTGCGGCGCCGCTACCGACTGAGCCACGCGGGCAAAGAGAAAGTGCACGCCCGATTGCATACATAAAGGCGAGGACGACATCTGTACGCAGAGTGACATTAAGCGTTGTACACCGTGACGGTAGAATGCATACTCTAGCTACAAAAAAACTACGAAAAATCTCCTGTCCCCCCACCTTTAACACAAAAATAGTCGGAAGCAATAGCAATTGAGAAAAAAACCGAAACGTTCAGGTTAGTTTTCATTACGGAAACCGTTGGCCACGCCCACAAGTTATTCTCATCCAAAGCTCCTAGTTTTTAATACAAGCAAGATATACTTCTAGTGTTGGTTATGAGAAGCTTTCGCTTCAACGTTAAAAAAAGAACTTAAAATGATTTTTAACGAAAAAAAAAGAAATCAGAGAGCTCTGACTGGTTTTCTGTACATAAATACAGGTTTACACACCAAACTTGTTGTCTTTTTCACTTTCTTCGAAAAACCGATTTTCTACTAGAAAACAAAAATGACTTGCAAAGAAAGCATCAAACAAAAGAAATGAGCAAGTTCTCTCTGATTCCCATGGCTCTCTCTTTTTCTCTATTTAGCCACCGGATAACCTTGAACGGTATTAGGGGTGCCGAGTTCAAGTACAACAGTTTGTAGAGCCCTTTTTTGTCTTCTAAATAGGTTAGTCAAACATCACACTGCCACTTCTCTCTCATGTGCCGACGCAAAAAATGATGGTAATTTGGACGGCCAATTGCACTTGTTTGGATTTGCAGACAAATAGGTCAGATGGAAGAGTGTGACAACTAGTACAAGGAAAGGTTGAAATAGAAGCCGAAACCGTGGGGATAATCAAAAATTTATGGGTTTAGGGGTGTGCCAAAAAAAAAGAATAAAAGCGGGTGAGACGAAAAGGAGTCCATCTATCATTATGGATCATCGAAAGAGGGCTGAAAAGGCAAAAAAGAAGTGAGTGACAAATGATCGAATAATTCAGAGGAGCATCTTCTCCTAAACTTTCAAAAAAAAGTAAAAATACGAAGAGTGAGGTATAGTCAGTTGTGATTACCGTATTTCTTCTAATAGAAGCTCACCCAACTTTGAGCTCAATTATCTCGATTCTTGTAAGAGATATCAAAAATTTATTGATTGACAAAGTATTTATCATAGTACCACCAATACTTTATCAGTTGATAAAGTTTTGATATCTTTCACATGAATCACGATAATTGGGCTCAAAGTTAATGGTTTGGGTAAGTTATTTTAGGGTGTGCTATTAGAGGAAATACGGTATTGCCTCAAATCAAGTTAGACAAAAAAAGAAACATGATAACTGTAATGACCCGAAAAGTAGAAAAAGCAGCTGTAATACGGTCTTGACACAGTCTTACTATACAACTGATTCAATGGAAAAGATAAAGAGCACACACAGAGTCTGGAAACTTTGAAACGTACGTTTCTATTGTAGTACACAGTTGCCGCTGACCACAATAACTGTCCGTTTTCTTTCTATCTTTTCTATACTCTTTGCGCTTTTTCGAAGCAGAATCAGAAACGGAGACGTGCATTTTACTAGAGACTGTACTGATGAGAGAGACGCAGACAGAGAGAGAGAGAGAGAATCGGAAGAGAGAGAGAGAGAGAGAGAGAGAGAGAGAGAGAGAGAGAGAGAGAGAGACACTTGAACGGACCCCAGGCAAGCCACTGTATGTGTATATGTATAATATAAATACGGACAGGGAGAGAGGGGGGAAGAAATTGAGGAATAGGGGGAGAAAGAGAGGAAACGATGTCCCGTTGACTGTTCTTTTTGATGGTATGAGGATAGTATTCAAATTTCGGAGACTCAGAGATGAAGTTCTTTTTTGAGATGCGGATCAGCTGGAGAAGAGACAACGTCGATCGGCTTGCACGATTAGCCAAAGGGATGGGAGGGGAGGGGGGAGAAGAACGGTTATTATTTTCGGATGTAGGGCAGAAAAAGAGAATAGTTGAGAACAAAATAAAGAGAGTGGATGGACGGATGATGAGTTCATGAAAGTGACCAGTCATTTTAGGGAATAGTTTGACCGCATACAGGTCATACTATTAGTTTCGGATGCTCATTATTAAGCTTGTCCAAAAATCGGAGCAGTGACGGAAAATCGCTGGATTTTTTCTCGTTTTTAATTAATTTTCGTCAAATGTTCTGTTCTTTTTCCCCAAAAAGTCGGGAAACTAAAACTTTTGATAGTGAAGAAATTCACTGAAAACGTATAGAGAAAAAATACGAGCTATGGAAGAAGAACGCCGGTTGCCGTGGGCGGGGGTCTCAGAACGACAGTTACAGTAACCTAGATTATTTTCAGGGTATACTATCTAGATTTTAGAATTTTTTAATACCAAAAATTTGTATTTTCCTACTTGTTTGAGGGAAAACAAAAAAATGCAGTAAAAACGAGAAAATAATTACTAAAATTAACAATATGTTTAGGTTACTGTAGTTGTGGGGCTTTCGGCCATGGCCAACGGCGTTTCTCCTACACAGCTCCGATTGGGAAAAACCTATTTTTCAGAATGGGAATCTTCAAAATCAGATTTTTTTTTTAATTTTCAAACCTTAGTAATATTTGAATTATCAACTAGAATCTAGGAATTATATAATTGTCGCGGTTTGGGATTGAGGGTGTCCCTAATTTAATTCTAAAACGAACCATTTTGACTGAAGCTTAAACTAAAAGTAAGCGAAACTTAAACTATTTCTGAAAGCATCATGAAAAGTTATCGAAAAAAAAGTTCCATTTTTCCATATCTTTACAGAGAGTTCCTCGAAGAAAATAACGACATTTCCTGCTGTCTATTCACGATAGAAGAAGAAGAAGAAGTATTCTTTTTTCAAGGAGGCAAAGCCCTACTTGTTTTCAAGGAATGCAAATCATTGCATCGCAAACCCAACAGAAAAAAAACATGCGCTCGAAAAACGTACTCGGTGAGCAGAGAGTAAGTGGCAAAATTAGAGAGAAAAGAGATTCTGATCAGGATCGAAAAAGAACGGACTGAAAATGTTTATTCTGGAAGAAGGAGAAGGGGGAAGACGATCGTTTAATGATTGATTGGTTTTTCATCATTTTGCTTGTGATTTGAGACTGATAATATCACATTTAGTAAATATCTCTAATGTCTGTGTATTTTAACCAGTTTTGATAAAGTTTCTTCTCTTCATCTATTTCTCTTTAACGAAACACACGGAAATCGGATCATCGGGTTATGGTTTACTATGTTTTACTATAACTACCAGTTTCAGAATTGTCAGAAAACGGGGAAAAATAAATAAATAAATAATACTAAAAACGATGGTATCAGTATCAGTGAATTTGGGAAAAGTGAAAAGAGAAGCATTTTCTTAGGATGAATGATAAACCCGTTTAAAAGAAGCAGAAGAAGAACAAGGAAAAGAGAAACGACATATTTGTCAAATCTTCCCCTATTCAATGTCCTGTAATTAACATCTGATTTATGTATGATGTTCTTGATAAGTGGGTGCTGCTGTCCAATGAGAAATTGAAGAGAGAAAAGTGAGAATATGATAGAGCGAATGATAGTGACGAGATGGTTTAATGTCAAGAATACTAGAGAGAAAAAAAACGAAGAAAAAGGAAAAAGAAGAACCATTAATTTTCAAGAGAAACGAAAATGAGTATTAAAACTTTGCTTCTTTTTGACTGGGAAGAGAAGAATCATACAAAACGACAAGACGAAACGATGAGAAAAGGGAAGAAGAGATAACCAGAAAGTGCGCGGAACTACTTGAAAAGAGCTTTTTCTTTGTAATTATGTATGTTTGCATACAGTTCGTACATGACAGAAGCTCCAGAATAAATCCTCTTAATTTTCTAAGTCCCTTTTCCTCCTTTTGCTCCGAAATTTCCTTTGCAAAAACATGGCGTTGTTTCTTCTCAGGCTTATTCATTTTCTATACTCTTTTGTGGCCAAAGGGTCCACAGCGACAACTACTGTAACCTGAAAATAGTTCCACTTTTAATATTTACCAGCCTGTTTTCCGCGCCTCCGGCGCGATGTAACCTATTTATTTCACTGTTTGTCTCTTTGCTCCTCCTTCTTTTTTAAAAGACCATGTCAATTTATATTTAATTTTCAAATTTTGTGCGGACGAGGTGACAGACGCAACTTCATTTTCTCGATTTCCGGAGGTTTCAAATGTTTCGATATCAAATTTTCAGAATTTCTGAATTTCAGGATTACTTAATTTTCCAAATTTGAGGTTTCCGAAAATTTAAAAATTCTGAACTTTCAAATTAAAAAAGTCGGTTAGCGCCCCTTTGGAGCTGAACCTCTTTTCTCCCACTACGTAATCTCATGAAGAGGTTTTGGCACTTTCATTCTGTACCTATTTTTCATGGTCCATATTCCGAGATTCAGAAATTTTCAGGTTCAGAAATTCTGGTTTGGAAATTCAGAATTTCGGTAATTTCGAAATTCGTTATTTCGGAAATTAAAATATTTAGAATTTTGAGATCTTGGAAAGTCGGGTATAAGGAAATCCGGAAATTCGAAATTTTAGTAAATTTGAAACATGGAGCTTCAATTTTAAAATTCAGCAAAAGTATTCAAATTGCAGAAATTCTAAGTGTCTGAAATTTTGAAATTTCAGAATTTCGGAAGTTGAGAAAGTCCAATCTCGAAGATTTAGATTCGAAACTCTAGCGGTTCAAAGCTCTGAAATGTTCAAACACTCAACTTTTCATTGTTGCAAGTATTTTTTCA